AAGGGTGCAATCTTGACAAGTACAGTGATAAATTTAAATATGATTAAGCTTAACCTTTCTACTACCAATCCTAAATCTTGAGTAATAAATGTAAGATATAGATCACATTTATCTACTAACATAAAGGCTTTAAGGGATAGTAGAAGGCTTGGAAAAAATGAGGTAGTCCTAAGAGTGGGCAATGGTGTGAGAATTGTGGCAGTTTTTGTTGGGACTTATGATCTCATTTTACCATTGGATCTAAGTGGATTGATGTGATTGTGTAAAACATAGATTTTAAATATTTTCTTTTACAAAGGAAGTAAGCAATCCAATTATACAAGTGGAAACACACGTCATTCTTATTGTAAGTAACATAATCATATCCTAAAAATAAGATTAAAAATGTCCTTTTTTTTAATATTCTTATTTTTGGACACCACCACACCAATGATTGATTTCTCAACCAAACAAGTTTATCACTCACTTTTCAAGAATGCTTTCAACTTGAGCCTTGAGTGGACAAGATGTGGAATACTAGACTACAAGATGGCAATCAATTTTGTCTCTCCTTTCTTCCTAAAAATTAATGGTTATTTTTCTTCCAAAAAATTCAGGTAAGAATGAGACATAGAAAATGAGATACAACAAAGTTAAAAGGGGGAGAAAAGTGACGACTAAAACTTTTTCAAGAAAGTACGTACTTTTTTTTTCCAATCTCTTTCCTTTTTATTAAAACTTTTGCTTCAAAGGTCTAATCAATATCAAATACTTTTGAATCAATCTTGACCATCCATTTAGAGTTATGGAAGCATCAAACATGGTCCATAACAATTAAAATCAAAATTAAAGAATAAATAATTTAACTTTAATTATCATTTAAAGTTCTTGATAAAATAAAACTTCTTGTTGAATTATAACTATTATTTTATTAGTTTTCATCTTTATTTAAAAAGAATTAATAATAAATGAAAGAGTGATAGTCAAACATGGAGCCTCATTTTATCAATATAGATGTCTAGATTCATTTTGCAAGAATCATCCTAACATTATCATAATTTAAGATGACTCTTGTCTTTAATTAAGACAAAAATATTTTATCTTATCTA